ACATGAACAGACTTGACTTGACGAGGCATGAACAGACTTGACTTGACGAGGCATGAACAGACTTGACGACAGCGGGTTACAACATCAATACACGACAAGGGCACAATGGGAACATGATGGCTACTTATAGCTGACAAGAGGGTCACATGACAAGAACAAACCAATGGGAAACAAGACACATGACTAAGACTACCAACCAGAACATGACACATACACAAGGCAGAGATACATGTGGGCAAGGGAAGCATGACACTAACAGGGTGAAACAATTACAAAATAAAAGACAACGAAAACAAGAACATGAAACAAAACCCAAACACCACATTACACTCTGACAGAATACCAGTCAATAAATGTCAACAAATAACCTTTTACCCCATTGTGACTTGTTAAGTTCTCCTGTTCCTGTGTAGATACAGTGATGGACAAAACCTGGTCACTGTGTGTGAAGCGAGTAACAGCTGCAGTCATTTATTTTATAATATAATATGATATATGTGATGTAATGTGATATGATATAATATAAGCTAATTGCAATATTTTTTATCTCACAACATGGATTTTGATTCTTGAAATTCTGAGAAAAAGTCTGATTTACAATATATAAACATCCGTTTTTATTCGGACTTTTTTCTCATAATTCTGAGTTTACATTATATATATATATAAAACAGAATCACTGAGCTGAAAACAAGGATCGCCCCCCTCCTAAAATGCCTTGTAAACTCAATCAGTTGTAACTAATCACCTTCTCAATGGCACACAAAGCCATTTGACTTTCAACTGTGATCAGCTGTAGTCATTTTGATTAGTTCAGCATGAAAAGAGTTTTCCTGGAGCATTTCAGTCTTTGGTAATGCAACTGAAGCAAACAATCAACTATAGGTGGCAAGACTCTGTCAAAAAATCTCCTGGATAAAGTTGTGGACAGGCACAAGTGAGGAGATGGATACAAAAAAATCAAAGGATTTATCAATACCTAGAAGCCCAGTGAAGTATATTATTAAGAAGTGGAAGGTATTTGGTACAACACAGATCCTCCCTGGATCAGGACGTCGCTCCAAACTGGATGAAAGGGCAGGAGGAACCCGGTCAGAGAGGCTCCCAAGTGACCTACAGCAACTCTGAAGCAGCTGCAGGAATTTATGACAAAGAGTGGTCATTGTGTGCATGTGACAACAATATCACAAATTCTCCACAAATGTGGCTTGTGTGGGAGGGTTGCAAGAAAAAAGCCACTCCTCAAGAAAGGCCACATGCATTCACGACCGAGCTTTGCCAAAACACACCTTGAAGATTCTGAGGCAGATGAGATTAATTATTTGGCCTCAACACCAAATGATATGTCTGGTGGAAATCCAATACAACTCACCATCCAAATAACAGCATTCCTACAGTAAAGTAATATCCAGTTATGTGGTGTTTTCTCTGCAGCAGGGACTGGAGCACTTGTCAGGATAGTAGGAAAAATAGATGGGGCAAAATACTGTCTAATTCTTGAGGAAAATTGTAGTCCCACCATCAACACCATCAAATTTAACTGAACTTGAGCAGTTCTGCAAAGAAGAGTGGGCAAATATTGCAAGTGCAAAGTTACTAGAGACATATCCCTGTATTTAATGCAAAATGTAATAAATGCATAAGGTGGTTCAACAAAATACTGACACAAGGGGTGATCCATTTTCCATCAGGCTGAAAAGCAACAAAATGTGATTATTTTAAAGGGGAGTGATTTTTTTCTATACCCACTGTATATATATATATATATATATATATATATAATTGTTCTGACACAGAGTCAGAATTTTGGCAGAATTCAGAATTGTGTTTTCTTTTATTCTGCAATAGTGTTAAGAAAAATTCTCAACATATGCAAATACTTTTGATAACAATACTAACAATTACTACATAATTATTCACAATAAACACTTCAGCAAAGAACGTACCATTTTCTGTTTATTTCAAACTTTTGGTTGTCATAACATCTCAATTATTAACAACGTGCTATTCTACTCGTAGTATTTTAGGTAGTAATCATTAATCTACAATGTTTGTATATCCACATTTAATAGATGGAGATACAAACATTGTATTATTATTCTGTTACCCAATAAAAAAAAAAAGTTTTATATGAATAAAAAAAATCTACGGTGAGATCCCATTTTTTCTACAGCAGGTAATGTTCACCTTTTATTGTTTAAAGTGAGGTTTCACATTGATTACAATAAGCTAATGCTGACATACAACAGAGATCTGATTTCAGTCTTGGGTGTTGCTAGAGCAACAACTTAAATATATGATTGTATAATGTATAATTTTAGGAAAAATATGACTTACTGTTCCGATTTGCAGATACACTTCTCAAGAAAGATGTTAAAACATATTAAGTAAGCCAGTTGTATTGGGGGCCTCATGTTTTTGTTCTGTCTCCCAATAGTTTGTGAAATGATGCAGACAAGGTAAGAGGCCAGTATTGATCTAGAACTTTTCTTTGAATTAGCTCTGAGTAGGTTATATTTTAAAAGATTCCAAATGGTTGTTTCTAAAATATTTAAGAGAACTGCTGTTTCATTTTTTTTTTTTTTTAAACCACCAACTTTCAGCCAAGGGCATTTTTAAATTATTTATTTATATTTATTTATTTATTTTACAAAAGGGCTCTTAAAACAAACCAGATGATCATTTAGGCTCCTGTCCAGTAGGTGGCGAAACTGTCGTTTGCCAACGTTCATTAAAATGCCAGAAGAAGTAAAAAACAACATCCGACCAGTGGTAAGCGCTTCCGGGTTCTGACGAGAGACGTGTTGTGTTGTCATATTTGAGGAAGATGTCAGCGCACGACCACCTGTCTCTCTGTCTGTGCGATTTAATTAGGTAAACATTTTAAATTATGTGTTTATTGTGTAGATTTTAAAGCCAATGCCTTAAATGTGAAATCCACTGAAGTCTCGTTGAACCCTTGTTGCCACAGGACGAATGTTTTGTAAAATTACTTGCTCAGTTCATTTTTTGTTTCGAATGAATGAAGGAATCAGTTTATTTGCATTTGTTTTATTATTTATGTATATTCATCTGAAGGTTTGTATTATTTCAATACTTTAGACATCCCCAAATGAAATTGGAGCCAATATAATTTCTGTTCATGTTAAAGGAAACAAGCCATTCACATGTATCACTCATTTGGCTGCTACTGATCAATAGATATTCATCAGTATAATAAAACAAAACAAAATAAAATAATTAGAGGAGACATAGAGCTGTTTAACATGATATGACAAGAAAAACTGCAACAATGTGCATTAGAATTAGTTTTGAGATCTTGTCTATTCATATACTTACTTTTAAGGCCTATTTATAGTTGAGTATGCATTTTGATAGGACACATTGTATGTAAACTGATATTAATCATAAAGGTGGATTATGGTGTGTGGTTTTTGCCTTCCATAGGTTACTGTGGTCACTGCTGTTACCATGCTTCTATCTGAGTCTTGTCCTGACAGCCATCCTCTTCCTCTTCATCATGGGAGTGAGGACCTTGCTGCAGATGAAGAGGAAGAGCAGGAGAGCTCAGGACGGCCGGCCCGCCGTGGCCTTCTTCCACCCATACTGCAATGCAGGGGGAGGAGGAGAGAGAGTGCTGTGGTGTGCTTTACGTGCTCTTCAAAACAGGTCAGATATTTCAGCTGTTAAGCGTGTGCCATTTAGTTGGCCAGACATTTATGGGTCAGTGACAAATAGGGAGTGAAAGCATGCAAAATATAAATAATACATTATACATATAATAAAATAAACACTAATCCACAATTTAAATAATTTTATACTATATTAAAATTGTGTTCTGTGTATATTTCCTAAGTTTGTTGACAATTTTCAGGTTATTGATTGTAGTCACAGAAAATGTCATACAGAATATTTACATAATTCTAATTATTCCATATATATATAATTAATAACAAAGACTGGCAAGTGTTAAGTAGTCCGAAGACTTACTGTAAAATCTATTGTAAAATGATCATGCCTAACTACAAAATTATCAGCATGACTTGAACCTTTTACACTGACTGTTACTTGGCTACTGGTGGAAAACTATACTTTCAAAAAATATTGACGTTGACCTCCACTTATATGCAACTTATTATATTTCAAGTAAAATATATCATAGACATATAATAATGTATAAAATATATACATCACATATTATTTATAAAATATATCATATTTCCATGACATGGAAATTTACACCACAGTGTATTTGAAACAAAAAAGAAAGAAAAAAAAAATAAATCTGGACAGACTCCCTTTTAACACAAGTCCTTTATGATCCTTGTTAATATTTAACTTCATGTGACACCAAAAAGTATTAGGACAAAACCCCTAGAATGTCTATATTTACATCATGTAGGTTAAGACTGTAGTTGAATCACTAGGCATACTTAATTTAAAAGCTATATTCTTATCATTTGAATTAGCCTAGGACAGCGAAGTAAGCATGGCATGTCACTGACCCTTGTATAAATGTATTAAGTTCTGCGTTTGACTGAAGCTGTCTTAAATGCTTAAATCAGCAGGGCTGGGCTTCAGCATGGACTTAACGAAAAATTCGTATAATTTCTGGATTCATTCACACTTTTAATCCCATATATTTTCACAGGTACCAAGATGTTTCCTTCGTGGTTTACACAGGTGATCAGGGCGTGACAGCAGAAGAGATTTTAGATGGAGCGTGGCAGCGCTTCAACATCAGACTCCCCCGAGCCGTTAAGTTTATGTTCCTGAAACATCGTCTCCTGGTGGAGGCAAAACTGTACCCACACTTCACCCTTCTGGGGCAGAGCGTGGGCTCCATCTTCCTGGGGTGGGAGGCCTTGACTGAGTTTGTTCCAGACCTCTACATTGACTCAATGGGCTATGCCTTCACCCTGCCTGTATTCCGTTATCTGGGTGGTTGTCATGTGGGAAGCTATGTGCACTACCCAACCATCAGCACTGATATGCTCTCAGTGGTTCGAGAAAGAAACCCAAGGTTAGTCAAGAAAGTCACATTATTGTTATTGAATTAAATGTGAATAGGTGATTCCACTGTTTAATGTTTAATGACTTAAAACCTTCGTTTCGTAGCTGATGTAGAGGTTAAGATGTAAAGAACTCCATAATGATTCCGTTGTAGTTCAAAACTGATATACTGATAACATTTTTGGTCTTAATGTCCATGATGAATTAATGCAGTAATTCCTTAGCTAGTAAAATGCAATGTTTAGGTATTATTATTATTACTATTATTTTGATTTATGCCTTAGTTTTAGTTTGTACTGTTTACCTTTTTAAAGTAATGTGAAATTGATTTTTGTATTTTTATTAATTTTTTTATTGATATATTTATATTTGCATTTTGAATGCAATTTGGCAATTAAATACATTAAATGGGTTTAGTTTGCACGGTTATTAATGTATGCAATTTCAGCAATAAAAATGTAAATTTTTCTAAAAAGAAACAAATTAGTTGTTTATTTTAAGAGATCTATCTAATTATCTCTTGTATATTTAGTATTGCTCTTTAATAAAGAAAAATGACTTCTTATCTGATTACTCGATTAATCGATGTTATAATCCGCAGAATACTCGATTACTAAAATAATCCATAGCTACAGCCCTAGTTGCTATGTATGTTGCATGAATTGTTTCATGTGCATAATTGTATTTACATACACCACAGTTCAAAAATGTAGGGTCAGTAAACTTTTTTTTTTTTTTTTTGATGAATAAATGCATATTTTTATTCCGCAAGGATTCAATAAATTGATAAAAAGCAATAGTAAAGACATTTATAATGTTTATCAAAAGATTTGTATTTCAAATAAATGTTCTTTTGAACTTTATATTCATCAAAGACTCCGGAAAAAAAATTATTTCCACAAAAATTGTTTTTGTGGTTTCCACTAAATCATTGTGGAACATTTTCAACATAGATAATAATACTTTTTTTTTTTTTTTTTTTCTGGGGGCAGATTTTGTGTGGGCCTGTCCATTAGACAGACAAATACCCACAGACACAAACACACAGACTGCAGTAATTATTACAGTGAACAGTACAGAATGACTGACTGAGAGGCAGACAGAGGGAGAGCGGGGGTGTATATGTGAGACAGAGCAGGAGATCATTCACATGATGCTATTTCTATGAAATTAATGAATTTAATATGCAGGCCACTGGGTTTTGATTAAATGTGTAGGAGGGGATTTTAAATAACAGCAAAATAAATATGTCAGAGTAGACAGTGTGTCTCTCAGAGGCCCAGTGAGTCAACACAAAGACGTATGAGTGGAGAGAAATGAGGTAGATGGTATATGACTTCAGTATATATTAATAACAGATGTCACATTTACTGTGTGTGACAGAGAAAATATGATCAAAATCAAAAGCTCAACATTCTTTCCCACCTGGGAAGCCTATCATACACACACACACACACACACACACACACACACACAGAGAGAGAGCGAGAGAGAGAGCAAA